GGGGGTGGGGGGGGTGGAGGAAGGGGAAAGAAACCATCGATCTAACCTACATCAAGAAAAATTTTTTTGTGTGTGTCTCGATGCAATTTCTGAATTATCTAAAATACTTTGAGTACAATTTTGTGTCTTGTTCTCATTTTACCTCGTTGGCTTTTATTAGTGTTTAATATCCATAGGCTATCCAGGCTTCTCAGTAGTACAATAAAAGCTTCAAGTCTTGAAGAGGCCTTATTACTGCGTATTCATATGTCTTGTACTGATGTAGGACCTCACCCCAATTACCACTAAGGGTGCTTTGACGCAAAGATTAGGAAAGGGTTTAATGCAAAGAGTTGCTGATAATTGTCCGAATTGAAAATATCCCCTGAATGACCTCTTAAATATCATTTACACTGCGGTGCGTTAAAATGGCGATAATAATGAAAACATCCTTGCGAAGCCTCAGAAATGAGTTAAGGAAACCACTTGACTAAGGAAATGACCAGCAGGGCGCACATCCTAGGTTCGCCTATTTATTCTCCTTCTATGACTGTGGTTGTGGATAGAGTATTTCACGTTGTCTATAAAATCCCCTGTGCGAGCTAACGAGGATAATGCATGGTGTGGTTGCTGTTTTTACGGAAGTTAGGCACACATCTGAAAAAGTGAGCAATATCAATATATATTATGATGCCCCCATTCCATTAGAAAAAGAAAAAACTTTTCGAATTGAGCACAGGATTTTTCTTTGATTTACATTGTATTGTATGGTACTAGGCTGTTCATGCTTCGGTAGGTGGCATCCTAGTAATGCCCACACGATAGGAAGACAAGAACACTATGCACTAGATCTCGAAAGAAATCTCGCGTCGTGGAACTTAAAACTGATAAATAAAGTCATAAAGGCCATAGCAGCAAGGAGACAATTTTATGATTATCAAAGATATGTCCTCTGTGGAAATGGTCAAAGTCAGTTTGATTTCAGCATATTTTCTTTACAACGCCCACCACCACCTTGTTTGTCTGAGGTACGAGGTGGGTGTCAGTGACATTTATAAACCTATTCAAAGAATTTAAGGGACAAATCTCTGGGACTCGGTGGTTTCACCAATTGGCAAAAAGTGAGAGTATCTTGGGTTGAAAACGGACTATCTTTTTACCTTGGGGATAGCAAGTGCGCGCCAGAAGATGTAATCATGGAAGGCACATTGTTGACAATTCTATAGGTTATTGTATAGATGATCTGGCTTCTTTTGACTATAGATTTAAATTTACAGGATATTTTGTTTTGTATGTTATTCCACTTTCTTGTCATAGTTTTCTTTTGGCTTGTGGTTTCATTGTTGTTCTCTTTGTGGGGGATAGACTTATACAAAACAATAATTAAATGCCCATGAAAGGGTAGATTCAAATACTAAAAGACTGGAAATATAAGGTATTGACATCAATGAATTATTAAATACATATTTGTTTTCGAATTTTGTATGTGTCTTTTGCATCTGAACGAAAAAGGGAAAGGATATCACAACAACAACAGGGAAAAAGAACGAGTTATAAAGTAGAAGATAGACGAAAGGCTCACTTTAAGAAAGCAATCTAGAACACTTAGCGCTTGTCATGTCGATAAATTCACAGCAAACGCCTATAATATCACATCTTAGTTGTAACTCATTAGAGGCCTCTCTCAAAGAGTTAAGGAATATCAAACAGCGTCAAAAACCGATATCTAAACGCGAGGTGCGCGATCAAATTCAAAATGATTTTAAAGTGCAGCAGAAAATGAAACGGGACAGACAACTTCATAGTCTAGTCCTTGGAAAAGGACTTGGTGAGGTAGCCAATAAAATGATTTTCAAAGGCTTTTACAAACCGCAAATGGTCTTTGAGGACAAGGACTCTAATAAACAGTTGGATAACAATTCTATTGGATTAACGAATCTTCAGTCAATTTTTACAGAAATATCTCCCAGAAAAGTGTATGAAAATGCACTTGGCAGGGCGTTTTCTCAATCCGTTAATTCAGCGAGTGGATTACGGCCTCTGGACTCTCACCGGTTTAGCAACACATACACATCGACGCATTTCGAAACCTTAGTCTCCACGCCTAGGAGAAAGGAGAGTGTTCCTCGGTCGATTACGAAATTTGAGGAAACCTGCGCTGAGATTCGAGATACTATTGACAACTTAGAGTCTGATCTCGATGTGCTATGTGTGCCCCATCTATCTTTTAATGTCCTTTTAGATATTCTTTCCCGAGCTTTAGAGTTAGTGGAGCATGGTGATCTCAAAGAGGAGTTCATACTGTCAGGCCCTGAGTTTAATATAGAGAGCACTAGGATCGAAGTCTCACCGGAAGGTGAAGCAACCATCCGCCTTGTTGGGGCTGAAGAGGTGATGAATTATGTTTTAAAAAACATGATCGATACCGCCTTCGAGCTCGTGCCTGTGACCCACACTGCGCAGTGGGTGCTGCAGTTTACCATTACCTTTTTGCGCTCTTTGACGGCTGTCACCGAGGAGGATGCGTACTTGAGGCTAGGGCTACTGGCGCGATGTGTGCGGCTTCTTGGAAGTACGGAGCATTTCTCCGCCACACTCCTCACGTTCGTGTTTATGATCGAAGAGTATGATGCCTTTTATCAACTGACAGATTCCGCGGAGAGTAACATTGAGGCCCTTTTTAGCGAAGTGGATTCGATATTAAATAGTGTGCTCATGGAGTCCTTCCCCTTTCGGCGTTCAAAACTTCAGAAAGTTGATAGGATTATTAAGTCGAAGCTTCAGCGTGTGATCACATTTATCAATGAGTTGGACACTAGTTGGAGACCTACTATTTATTTTCATACGCTGTGGAAAGATACATTCTTGAGCAAGTGCTTCTTTCGCATTCACAACGTTATATCTCAACGTTACGTTTTCTGTTCCCATGGTTTCGTTGATGAGGTATTGTATAGTAAAATTTACGATTCTCGTGTTACTGGGAGGGTTTTAGGGACCATGCCTTCTCAGCCGCAGATTGTGCTCGCACGGCGTGTTGAGTACGAGCGCGTCATTGAGGGCCTTACGTATCAGCAAATCGGAATATCAGTGAAGAGACATTCCAGCCTGGTAGTTGGCTATCAAATTTGCATGAGTGCGCGCTTTATCCTGCGACAGGCCACACCGTTGTATGACAAAGCCTGGGGTTTTAAAATGGATGAGACGTCAAAAGATACTGATGAGGATATGGACAAAATGATTTCTAAAATAGTTGCTCGGGCGAAAAAAGGGTGTGCAGCTCCGAACTTTGATGGTCAACGTGCGACGTCAGTCTTTATAACGCAAGAAGAGGATTCTAACACTTCAAAAATTTCAGTAATCTGAAAGACAATGGATAAAAATCAGCCATACGATGCGAATAAAAGAACCGATGGTTTGTACAACACGTTGAAGAGTGCAACAAATACAGTAGCATCACTCAAGGAAAAATAGGCATTTTCTATTTTAGTTTCCATTTGCTCTATGGAGCATGAAATGTAAATTAATCCTTTTTTGAACATTTGCTTTTGCTTTTTTTTTGTAATTCTAGTTGTATTCTATGAAAAATTACCTACTTCAAATACAACATTCATATACACCCCAACGGAGCGGCACAATAGTGTATTTGTAATAAATATGGTCCTTACGTTCTCCTTCCCTTTTTCATTACTTTCTATATGTCGTGCGCAATATTTATTAAGCTCCATCAAAAGTATACCATATCACAAAGAGATAAGGAAAGGGTAACTATTTCTGAAAAGATAAAACATTAGATTTCTTAACGATAATTTTTGGAAAAATGAGTTTATGCACGAAGAACCCTCCTCCATGTGTGTATATACAATCGCTCGACGATAGACGCAAGTACAAACTTGTATTTCGCGGAGATATTTGCCTATTAGGCACCGAGAGGATCAAAGAATACATTGAGAAATCGATCGGGGTTCCCGTAGCGCAGCAAAAACTCACTTTTAATGGGCAAGAAATAGCCGATGGTTTAAGCGGAGATACCATTGGACTCTACAACAATGCGATTCTTCAATTTCAACGCGCCAGTTCTTCTTTGCGAGACCTCCCCGCTAACCGCGATTGTCAACGAACAACTTCGCTAGCCAAAAGCGCAAGTCGACGTGATAGTACCTCTATATCCCCTATAACTCCTTTGCACTCGTCGTGCAGTCTGATGACCATCACGACGAAGGTGGTCCCGCGCAGGCCCGAGGTCTCAGAAGGGGCCGCCGAATATCCACCTCTTCCAAAGCTTGAGTGGGGCGCTAAACTGGGTTCCTACCTGGATCCTTATTTGGACAGTCTCGGGGCATCCCATCAACCGCGTGGTCGTCCCTACACCGGTCGAAGCTTCCTGGAAAGCTTCCTCCCAACGCAATTGACTACCGATCGGAGCCTTTTTCGCCCCGCTTCCGGTTCTTCTAATCAAGATAACGCTACGGAGACGATGCGTGGCGTATCCACGGCGAAAGTCACCTTGGAGACGGTCGGGGGTAAGGAGCGACCCAATGGCAATCTTCTTCGTTACGAGACCTCCGAGGATGAGGCATCTCTGCTGGAGGAGGATCGACATGGGAAGTGGCAGAGTACACCAAACGAAAGGGAAAGCATTGAAAGTTCGGTCGTCAGTTCAAGGACTCTGCATGCAAATCAAGGCCAGCAGGAGACATTATCTAGGAGGGCTGACAGCCACAGGAGGAGCTCTCTACTCACCGATCGATGCCTGCCGGCACTGAGGGCTGAAAACCAGGCCTTAACACGCGAAAACGAGCTACTACAGGAAAAACTACTCGAGGCCGAGAGACGTGCCGCCAATGCCACGTCAAACTGGCAACTGCAAGAGGAGGTGCTAGCCCTCAAAGCGGCTTTAGAGGCCGCAGAAAAAAACAAACAGCGGGCCGTAGATGAGGCTCAAACAATGTGGCTCCATAAAGAAGCGGAACTCATTGCAGAGTTAGACTTTTTGAGAAAAGAACGCGATCAGGTTTGTGCAATTAAGGAAAACTTCAAGAATGAGCAACAAGGACAAATCACCTCACTGCAGTCTCAGCTGCGATCCCAGCGAGATGAAATTCACGCGAAGGAAGAAACGATTCGCCAACTCCATTTTACACTGGCAGAGTTGCAAAGTAAACAGGATCCACGTGAAGTCTCTCCTGTACAGGAAAAATCCATCGATGAATTTGTGCGAGGTTCGCTGGAGCGCATATCGAAGGTGTTAGAGACCCCAAAGATCAAACTTGATGAAAAAGGTACTTGCATTATTAACATCTCAGACGAGATAAGCATACTCATAACGTTGGACAGTGAATCCGAGCGGTTACACATGTACACGATACTATTAAATGAACTTCCTGCCTCTGAAGCGGTTTGCCTACGGCTCTATGAGAACTTGTTGGAAGGTGCGCTTTTAGGACGAAACACCGCTGGGGGCACCATCGGCATCAGTAAAGAGGAAGGTGTAGTACTTTTGAGTATCCCGGTGGATGTTCGATACAGCGATGAAAACGCGTTAGCGCATCTTGTGTTTCCTTTCGTGGAATTAGTTAGACGTTGGAAAAAGGGCATTCAGAAATTGCTGTCAATGCCTTGAATGTGTTAAAAAAGATCTTAATAAATTATTTCCTCCCTCCCTCAGACAGAGTCACATACACACACACACACACATCATACTGTAATATCTTCTTAGAATTAGATACTGCATTTGTCACGCAGGTTTTAAGTAATGCTCTGGTATGTTAATCTAGCAGCAGGCGGTTTATTACTGTTAGGTTGTGTTGAACCCTTTGTTACGTGTCAAAGGTGGTTAAATTCTATATGTTATCTTTTCTCATGGTTTTCTTTAGGCATAGAATATTAGACTTATTATTAGCGGATAATAATAATAAAAATAGGTTTAGAGTAAAAAAAATACTTATATCTATACTCAAAAACTGTTCTAGAATATATTTTTCTAATTTTTCACTTTAATTGGGCAATTTCAATTCTCCAAAACGGCGATGGCATCCCAAGAAGTGCCTCAAGTACAGCTATTCTTAGTGGTAATAAGTGCTGGTTCATCTCTTGGGAATAATGTTCAACAGCTCAGAGAATCTTCTGTGGTGGAACTTTCCATACCATCTATAATGAAGCCAACAACAGACTCCTCATCCGATTCCTGCCCTTCAAAATTGCGTTCGTCAACATCAACAGTTCTAGGGAGAAGCTCACCTTGCCTATACTGGGCCCTTGGAAATAAGCTCACATTTTCTAGGCGTATTTTAGAGTTTACAACAATTTACACAAGTACAGATTCTGACAAGGTGCACTTGTCCGTAAATTGTGCCGTTCGCGTTGCAAGTCTTTCAAAAAATAATAATTCAATAAAGTTGCGCCGTCATGGCTTGGAAGTTGTGAACTCGGAAGCAACAACGGAGTTGAAGGCTCAAGCTGATGCCATCACCTTGCCGACTGATCCAGACATCTTCACAACTTTGCGATTAGGTGATTATTTAGTGATTGCAGACACTGTAGAGATACACCTAGGTGCTGTGAAAGTTATCACCAAAATACCTGAAATCACCAAAGATGCCGATGACGCACCCTTATGGTTACTTAATGTGGTTAATTGCAAAGACGGCGCATCGTCCATGCCGCAGCCTTACCTTCATCCAATTGAGGAATGCGTGCTTAACCGGGCGTTATCCTGGGCCAAACTCTCGCGAGGAACTCGAAAGGAGATTATACGAACGGCTTGGTGGAAGCGAAAATCAAACCTGCGAGCGACCTGGATGTGTCCCAAGAAGAACGTAATCAAGTCCAGGGTGGATCCGAACCCCGAGGACGAGTTTCTCGTCCAAGCCTCAGACCTGTTGGCCGACCCCTATGGCATCGAGGAGGATAGCAATTTTTCGGACGTTGACGCGGCCACCCCCTCAACCTCAAAGGCCAACTCCCAGCGACTCCTCAAGGGCGCGGCCCGGGGAGGGGGGGGAGCGCGGCGCGTCCCCTCCAGTCAGCCGGGGTCCCCCCTGGCAAGCGAGGCCACCGAGGACCCTCCCCCAGAGGGGTCCCCCCCACAGGACCAGGCCCGCGGGGTCGCACGCAGCCACCGGGCGGGCTGCCACAGCCCCTCCCCAACCCACCTGGGGGGGCGGGGGGGCCGGCCCAGCTCTACGGCGAGACCTTCGACGAGAAGTTGGACGACGCGCTGG